CTCTTTCAATTGTTAAGACCCTAGCTTTAGTTAGTTTAGAGCCTACGCACGTGTTAACTATCGTGTGACGCACCATTAATTAAAAATGGTAAAGTCAATAATCATGTAACCTGAAACGGAACGTCAGAGGCCAGAGCCAAAGTAATCTATGTGACATTGACAAGTGGATGACGGATAATTGAACGGAGGCAGCGGGAGTTTTGGAGCGAAAGTGTTGATATTATTATAAAAACAAATAAGAGAAAAGGTAATTGTGAATATTGTAGGCATTGAGGTGTTTCTCTCCCTGACTAACCGGCATTACGCCTAAGTCGTCAGGATACTAGTGATTTTAAAACACACAGAGAGGTGTCAGGAGTTCCGATTTCCGCGTTTATTAGAACGTACCCAGTCTATAATAACAACGCATACAGAACACGAGAACCGCGTGGAAGTCAACCTGATATGTTTTTTTTTTATAACACACGGGACAAACGAGCATGCGGCTCACCTGATGGTAAGTGATTACCGCCGCCCATGAGCACCCGCAACACCAGGAGAATTGCAAGTACGTTGTCGGCCTTAGCTCTTTTCTTGAAGGTTTCAATATCGTATTGGTTCGGAAATACCATTGCTGGAAGGTGATTCCACAATGTGGTTGTGCGAGGCAAAAAGCTTCTAGAAAACCGTACTGTGTAAGACCGCCATTCATCCAGATGATCAGGATGGTATTTCAGTTTCTGGCGGGTGGTACGGTGGTGAAACTCAGCTGGTATTAATCCGAACAATTCCTCAGAACACTCCCCGTGATATATGCGGTAGTAAATGTTACATTATTAGTTCACATTACGAATAATATTACGTACGGTACGCGAATGAAACCGCAGACTACAACTAGTGTTTCTAATGAGCAGTGCCGTGTCGTCGGAGAGTGGCTCAAGCGGAGGTTGTCTGCGTTTTGTACGTTTTGCCCCGTCTCGAAATAACTGTACTTACCTACCATATTACTGATATTGCGAATTGCCGTCTTAACTTTTTTTTAATAATACTAGCTGACACGGAAAATGTTGTTTTGCCATATAAATTAAAATCGCTATTAAAAAATAGGGTAAGCGTGAAAATTTAGGGTTATATATAATTTTAATGCCACATTATAAAAAAATAATCCAAATAATAAAAAAAATGTGAGGGTTCCGCAACCCTTATCACTTAAGGGTATGAGAAATAGATAGTAGCCGATTCTAAGACCTACTTAATATGTATATAATCTATATATCTATACATATAAATAAAATTGGAGTGTCTGTTTGTAATATTGAAATAACCGTTATTTACTACATATGAATATAAATACGGTACATACACCAAAATAACATTTCTTACAATTTTTATCTGTCTGTTTGTTTGTTCCGGCTAATCTCTAAAATGGCTAAACCGATTCTGACTGGACTTTTATTGGCAGGTAGCTGATGTATACGGAGTCACTTAGGCTACTTTTATTTTAGAAAAATAAAGTTAAATTCCACGCAGACGAAGTCGCGGGAACAGCTAGTATAGAAATAAGTGTAAGGTGGTATTTTTGTTTATGTCAAAGGATATTGCACAATAAAAGAGTGCATATATATATATGTTTGATACACAAGTAGTGTCTTACAATGTACATGTCATATAATGATAACCTCGTGGTTGATAACGCGCGGCGGGGGCCCGGTGATGCTGTGTGCTGACTCACTAGCAGAGTCTGAAGGACATCGTAGTACAAACGGCTAGTAACTCGCCCCGACTTCGATTTTTTTTTCTTTATCTATTTAATAATAATAATCTCAGGACAATTCACACAGCGCCATCTAGACCCAAGTTAAGCTAGCTAAAGCTTGTGTTATAACTGATACATATACATAGATTTGTTTTTTGTATATACATACATATTATACATAGAAAACACCCAGACTGATATAAACAATCGTACTCATCAAATATCTATGTATTTGTATCAGTTATCTAGTACCCATAACACAAGCTTCAGCTAGCTTAACTTGGGTCTAGATGACGCCGTGTGTTTAAAAAAATAATAATTCTATATTTATTTACCAAATTTGTTCATATTTACACTAGGCCGAGCCTGACTGATTCAAATCTGTTTACATAAAAAATGGTTATATGGGATGGGTATGAATTCATGGGTTCAGTTTAAAATTAAAAAAAAATATAGTTTCATAATTTAAAAAAAATGTTTAGTCTAGAAATCAACTTTCTTTGTTTATGTTCCAGATTTTCTCTCGAGTCCCAATGGGGCTAGAGTGAAACGCGCCAATTCTCTATGGAGCGACTACAGCTGACAAACGACAAATGAACTAAAACGTCAGACAGTATTTCGCGGGCTTTTGTTTTCTTTTTTATTGCAATTATATAAAATTACCGCCAATTGTTAGAATTGAAATGTTTAAATTTAGAAGGGGGACTTTGAATGTATTTTCCAGATAGCAAATAATCACTACGATTTAAGAATTGCGACTACCTTTCAATGATTGTATTTTTTTTTTCTCAGGACAATTCACACAGCGCCATCTAGACCCAAGTTAAACTAGATAAAGCTTGTGTTATGGGTACTAGATAGCTGATACATATACATAGATATTTTTTTTGTAAATACATACATATTATATATAGAAAACACCCAGACCGATACAAACAGTCATACTCATGAATATAAATGTTTGTGCCGTGCGAGGAATCGAATCCGCAACCATTGGTCGTAAAGCGGTGTGCTAGACCGCTAGACCATCGAGGTCGTCGAAGAATTGAATTGTTTGAATTTAGAAGAGGAAACGTTGTACATATAGTCTACTTAAACTTAAATTGTAAGTAAGAATAAATTATTTAAAAGAGCAACACACAAGTTTCTTGCTTGTTCTTCTTGTGATGAGACAGCATTCCGAATGAGCGGTAGATTAAAAAAAAAAAATGTTATGACTATTCAAAAGTGCTTCAATGTAAGTTTATTTGAATAAATGATTTTCTATTCTATTCTATTCTATTCTACATGGCAAATAATCACTACGTTTAGCATTTAACTGTCTTACAATTAAATCAATCTAGGACACCAAATAGACATGTCTTTCTTAAAAAAAATGTACAGTTGTTAGAATTAAAATATTTAAATTTAGAAGTGGGAGACTTTTCACGTATCTTCCACATAGCAAAAAATCACTACGTTAAACATTTTGCTCTGTCTTACAATTGATTTAATCTATGCTACCACACTGAAATGTAATTCTTAAAAAAAAAAGTACTAATGTTTGCACATATTTTCATCATAGCAAATAATCACTATGTTTTAAGATTTAAAACATAGTGATTGCAGTAGTAAACCGTTAGCGCAGACGGCAGATTTCATTACATTAGAGAAAATTATTATTTTAGAAAGGCAATACATCTATATGGCGGAAAATAAATGGCCTACACTCATAAAAAATATAATTCTGACACTGATCCAGACCGATACAATCATACTCATGAATACAAAATGTACCGTGCGAGGAATCGAATCCGCGACTATTATATGCATACCTATAAATAAAATTGGAGTGTCTGTTTGTAATATTGAAATAACCGTTTTTTACTACATGCATATGAATATAAATACGGTACAGACACCAAAATAACACTTTTTACAATTTTTGTCTGTCTGTCTGTTTGTTCCGGTTAATCTCCGAAATGGCTGGACCGATTTTGACGGGACTTTTTTTGGCAGTTAGCCGATGTAATAAGGAGTAACTTAGGCTACTTTTATTTTAGAAAAATAAAGTTAAATTCCACGCGGACGAAATCGCCGGAGAATAAATAAATTGTTATTATTTATTATTATTATAGAAATCATGTTATCTTTTTAGCCATTTGGCTATGGATTTTTTTTATTTAGATTTTTAATTTTCTCTCTTTTTATACTATATCTAGTTCTTGGTCGTCTGCTTGCTTCAATGCAAAAACCTCCTCTAATCTTTTCCACTCTGTTCTGTCTTATGTCATCCTGGTCCATATCTTCTCTGCTGTTCTAACTACTTCATCCTCCCATCTTCTACTTGGTCGTCCTCTTTTTCTATGTTTCTTCTCTTCTGTTTCTTTTTCTAAGACAAGGTCTTGGGTACCAAGTAGTTATGACCTTGCTCCATTTATTCTTTACACGTATTGTGTGACCAACCTAGCGCCATATTAGCTGGCTATGGAGTTTAAAATTACTTAAAAACGGCGTACAGAGAACGGCCACAGAATGTAATTAGAGCTGGAATTAATTTATGGTTTCGTTGTCGCTGTGAACTCGTGAATCATCCTCAGTGTTGCCACTCGCGTACACAATTTACCATTGTTGCGTTGTGGGAAATATGGAACTTGATTTTGTAACAACGATATAAATATCCTTTTAATTACTAATGTTTCTAAGGACTGTATTTTTAATATATTTTAATTTTGGTATTAAGAGAAACTACGGTCGCCGAAGGTAAAGACATATAATTTCAATTGACAATGAAAAAGGAACAAAGTATCAAATATTTAAAATGGATTTATAAAGAAATATATTTATCATATAAAAAGGTGCGTTATGCACATATCCTTATTCATTACATAAAGTCGCTAGCGCTGTTTGTCCGTCCCTATGTATGGATTTTGAAACGGTTTTTTTAAATAGGTAGAGTGATTCAAGGGGAAGGTTTATATATATATACATGTATACCCGTGCGAAGCCGAAACTTGAAAGTAGGGATACAAACAATCATACTTATGAATGCAAAAGTTTGTGCCGTGCGAGGTATAGAACCTGTAACCATCGGAGATAAAGCGCTGTGCTAGAACCACTAGACCACCGACGCGATCGAGAAACGATTTTTTTATCTTTTATTTATACCCATTTTTTAGCACATTTTTTAATGCTGGCCACACCACACCCTAGCACGGTCTGTGGAACCGTTTGCTTTGCTCGCTTGTTCCTTATTTCATTTCTCGATCAGCCCATTGTGTACGCGACGGCGGGGACGTCTCGCCAGTTCAGTTTACGTCCGACTCGCAAACACTACTGACTATTTTGACATTAAGACATAAATATATAACAAATTGAATTAAATAAACACAAAAATGAGGGAAATAGTGCATCTTCAGGCTGGACAGTGCGGCAACCAAATTGGCGCAAAAGTAAGTGAATATATTTTAAATTTAGAATTTACAACGTTCCATTTGACAGTTGCGTTTGAATTATTTTTTCATTGACAGCCAACCATGTTTATTTTTTTAATATCTTTATGTAAGACAAAGGATTTAATTACTATAAGATAGTGCAAATAAAAAGTAATAATTAACATATACTCTGTGGTTATAATATTTTTATGTTATGTGTATTTTTACAGTATCTGTACAGTTAAAATTATCTGTAATTTTGTTGTTCCACTTTCAATATTTGGCGCGTTTAATTAATTAACACTTTTTATGAGAGAATCACGCACTCATTATAATTATCATTTATTACCAGCCGTCCATACTTTACACCTTTTAAATAATTTAAGTAGGTAGGTAAGTTTATAAAATCAAAATCCTCCAGTCAGTTTCGTGTAAATGTACCTACATTATGATTTTAATGGTTTTTGAAATTTATATGCCTATATTTACTTTAGTAGTTTTGTTGTTTTGATTATACATAAAAAGAATTTTATATTTATGACTCCGCTATTGTATGCATTTGTTTTTTTTAACATTTGTGCTCATTTCCTGCACTGATGACACTGCTTTCTATAGTGTAAGAATTTTAAAAATATATTAAGATTTTTTTTAAATAATGCTGTATCATGACCATGGATACAAGTCCTTCAGTCGAATATTTGTTAAGTTTTTTTTAGTGTTTCCATTACAAAATAAATATAAAATCTTACATATTTCTAATATTAGTTAAGGTACTAAACGAGTACTTGCCTCTTTTTACGTAAATAATATGCAAATGTAAAAGTAATTAAATAGATTTTTATTTGATTCTTAAATTCTAAAAAATAAATGTATATTAGAGATTAAGGTATGATAGGACGTAAAAAATCGACAATAGTGTCAAATTCATAAACAAATTACTACGAATAAAAGAAATTACTAATCTATTAAATATTTTTTATTTATTTCCTTTCTATCTTAAATTCCAAAACCAAATTATTTACTATCTATAAAACTACCGAATAAAACTTTATGTAACTTTTCCTTAGTCTCGTATATTTTTTGTTATTTTTTCAATAGATTCAAATTTTAATATTTCAAAGCATACAAAGGAAATAATAGGTATGGTGCCTAGATATTTTCTATTATAACGCTCAGCTTTCACCGCGCGGTGCCTAAGTAAGTGGTATGACAGCAATTGTGCTGTGGTATTGCATTTTATTGGAGCAAAGCAAAAACCGATATGCTTTCTAATTAAATAATTTGATGACGGCAACGAATGTATTGGAAAATATTTATAATACAACTCAAAACCACTTACATACATATTAAGTTGTAATAGCTGTTCCCGCGACTTCGTCCGCGTAGGATTTATCTTAATTTTTCTAACAAAAGTAGCCTAAGTTACTCTTTATTACATCTATCTGTCAATAAAAGTTCCGTCAAAATCGTTCCAGCCGTTTCAGAGATTAGTTGAAACAGACGGACAGATTAAGAACTTTCAAATATGGAATTTGTACCGAATTATTTTCAGAAATGACAAACTAACGGTCGATCCAATCAGTCCGTAAATTCGAATTTGGAACGCACGGCATCCGATTTAGTCAATTAAGAGTTTAGTTCCGAGAAAAAACTATATTATTGTTTATGACATAGTCTAGATTTAATTTAGTTCCGAAAAAAAAACTTTAATCTATATTTTGAACACGAATGAAAACATAATGAATAAACATACATAAGAATTGGCCTTTGGCCTCATCACTTGTTCAAATATGAAGAAGTATAAACGTAGACTAGGCTGTACGGTCTAAGGATCTTTGCCTGTTCCATCACTGAAAAGGAGATGGACGAATATGGAAAAAAAAATGTTTATGACATATTTTACTTTTTTTTTGTCTAGGTTCGGTCTGGGTCTTCATTCTGATTATTTTGTCGATGAATTTTGTACATTTTGACTGATGCCTTTAAATAAATTAATAAAAAACGTGCACATCTAGCGATTTACTTTATGAAGAGTCGTGACTCATTAAGAGAGAAATTCAAAGAGGCAAATATTTTAAATTTATATATTAAAATATCCTATATGTTCATAAAAATCTTGACTTATCCAAAAAACAGCAATATTCATAATATTAATACTAGATTTAAAACAAACTTGCTGTCCTCAAGTATCGTTTAGAAAAAGTTAATAGGTCTTTTAATAGGTATAAAAATTTCAAAGGATATTTATTAAAAAAATCAAAACAACTGTTAAATCATATTTGCTGAGCAAATCCTATTACTCACTAAACGATTACTTGAATGAGGAGCGTGCATGGCAATAGTTGTTCATGCACGGGATTTTCATTTAATGTTAGACATAGACACCTATATATATATATATCCATTGTAAATAAACTGACTTTAAAAAAAAAGAGTTTCAATAGAGTTTCTTGCCAGTTCTTCTCAATTGGATCTATATACTGAACTGGACGGTAGGGAAAAATTATAATATAAAAAAAAATTATGTTCATAAGCGGCTAAAATGTCCTACATGAATAAATGATTTTTGAATTTTAATTTGACCATTTCAATTTACCATATTATTTATGTTTCATTGTTCTTCCATTTCAATTGATTTAGATTCAAAATTTAAGTTAATTTTACGTTAGTATCATTTATTTTCCAAATTAACCACAAATAAAAATCCGTTGTCATATTTCTGCAATCTGTGGTTTAGACGTCGACATAAATTAGTTACCTACCTAAAGAATAGAGAAACACTTTTATAATCTGTCTAGCTAGCTTACCTACTTACTACTACTTAAGAACTTAGCGAACTTCTTACCTTCTCAATTAGATCTATATACAGAACTGGACGGTAAGGAAAATATTAAAAATCTTATATATAAAATTCTCGTGTCACAGTTTTCGTTCCCATACTCCTCCGAAACGGTTTGACCGATTCTCATGAAATTTTGTGAGCGTATTGAGTTGGTCTGAGAATCGGCCAACAACTATTTTTCATCCCCCTAAATGTTAGGGGTAGTCCACCCCTAATTTTTTTTTTTTTATTTTAAGGCAAAACAACGTTGGCCGGGACAGCTAGTTATAATGTAATAATTTGACGTTCATAAGCGGCTAAAATGTCCTGCATGAATAAATGCTTTTTGAATTTTGAATTTGAATAAATGTCTATGTATTTGTATATAATATGTACGTACACAGTACACATATAATGTGTACCGTAATTTTTTTATTGGCATCCGACCTGTAATGATATTTCTATGTACATAAGTTATCTATTTATTATCTTTATTGTTTATGGGTTCATTGTACTATCCAATATTATTTAATTGCATATCATTATATGTTTATATATTATATTCTAAATCAAATAATAGTTCGCAATGAGTCTATTAAATATCATTACATAGTATAAAACAAAGTCACTGTCGCTGTCCGTCCCTATGTATGCTTAAATCTTTAAAACTACGCAACGGATTTTGAAGCGGTTTTTTAAATAAATAGAGTGATTCAAGAGGAAGGTTATATATCTTATTAATTCATATATATACAATAGTTCTTAACTATTTAATATCAAGTCCAGTGCAGTAGTGTCTAAACTAGGCCTAACCTGTATCTCAGACACCATTGCCCACCTAAAGATAACATGCTATACGATTCTTTAGAGTTGAACGAAAAAATATTATAAACGCGAAAGTTTGTAAGTATGGATGTTTGTTACTCTTTCACGCAGAAATTACTGATCAGATTTTGATGAGACTTTACAGTGATATAGTTTATAAATCAGAATAACATATAGGCTATTGAAATTTAACGCGGGTAACCGCGGCCATAGCTAGTATTAAAATAAAATAACAAAAATATTTATTCAATATGCAAAATTTTAAGACTACCATTATTGAAAATACTAGAATATTTTATAATTATGAACAAATTAACTTAAACAATTTCTATTAACATAAATATATATCTATAAACATTTATAATGAAATCTCTCAATTGGTCATATAATAATACTAGCTGTGCCCGCGTCTTCGTCTGCGTGTTATACCTTAACGAAATAAAGAATAAAAAACGCCAAAATTCAATGAATAAAGTTTCATCGCTATAGCTTTATTTGTATAGAAACTTTTATCTCTTATTTTATTTTACCCCCTTAATTACCCCATTTTTTACAAACTTTGAATGTCATATTTACTTATAGTTACTCAACAGTTATCTAAGATATAAGTGTCAGGCTTCTATCATTAAAAATGACGATACTTCCATACAAACTTTTGTCTCCTTAGCCATGGTACAGTCAAAATTCCGTACTATATTAATAAACTAGCTGTACCCGCAACTACGTCCGCATAGAATTTTACTCTATTTTTCTAAAATAAAAGTAGCCTAAGTTACTCTTTATTACATCAGCTACCTGCCAATAAAAGTCCCGTCAAAATCGGCCCAGCCATTTCAAAGATTAGGCGGCACAAACACAAAGACAGACAGACAAATTGTAAAAAATGTTATTTTGGTGTTTGTACAATATTTACATATATATGCATGTAGTAAAAATTGTTATTTCAATATTACAAACAGACACTCCAATTTTATTTATATGAATAAATATTGCTTACATAATAGTACTAATAGCTGTTTTGTGTAATATAAATGCTTTATTGACATTATATTTATAACATTTGATATTTTTCCATAAATAAAATTACCATAGATCGTAAATATTCGCATTCGAAATTTAAAAACCGCGCCAATTGCGTGATTCACGCGGGGAAGTGTCTGCGCGTGCGTGGAATATAATGCCCAACATACGCAATGGCGGCCTGTAATTGGCTATGCTGCCCGCCATTGTTCCATTTAGTCCAGCTGACGAATTTCCTGACTTTTTCCGTCTTAAACATGCCTCTTATTTGGTTAATTGAATATTAATTACATATTAGGAAATTATAAAAACATATTTGATAACCATGTGTGGTAACAGACACCAAACTCGT